ATCCCTTAGTAGACCACTGAGTTGGCGTTACTTAAAGCAGCCCTACTTTGGGCTGGAGAAGAAAATTGGGAACCGGTAACTGGCCATTGGGTCTTAGTTTCTCCTCTTCTGGGCTGCCCTGGGTGGCTGTGTGGGGTAAGGGAGCCATCCTTTGCTAGGTGCACTCCCTTTAGCTGGGACTCAGGCAGAGGCAGCTGAGCTGTTAGCAGGATTCTCAGAGCTTAACGGAAGGAAAAGCGCAGCCAGAGCTACTTTCTTCTTCCCCTTGTGATGTAGAAGTCAGCCAGCAGGCGAGCTGTTGAGTAGTTGTGGCAAAGAAGGGAAACCAGCTGCTCAGTGTGCTCCTGGTGAAGTGGTGGGACCCTTAACTGCATCTCCATAGTGTTTCAAATCAGCGCTCTTGCTCAAACTTAAAAATGGCATGACTTGGGACACGTTTCCAATTATAGTCAAATGGAAACTTTCTTTTTAACACAGTCCCCCTCCAAGAGCACAGCTGTCCCAGATCCACAAGATCTGGGCTGTTCCTGGGAACCAGTCCCTTAGGAGTGGCCCCTTTATTGTGCTGGACCCCAAGTAACCACACAATTCCACAAGGGCAGGCCTGTGGCCTCCCTGACTCCAAAACTGGGCGTTTGGGCAAAAGCTGTCCCTGTTTCTCTCCTTGTAGCCTGTCCAGCCGATCCAGACTCATGCATGGGACTTGTTCTGCCCCTTCAGGGTACAATGCTCGCAGTAAGTGTTTGCAGCAGCATCACAGCCTTCTCAAAACAAGATAATTTATTAGTCACCTGGCATACAGAACCTGACCATGCTGAGGCTAGCATAGAGAAGCAAAGGCGAAGCCAGAGGTTAGACTGGCTATGAGCCATGCTGTTGTAGCAACCATCTTTGATTCCTCTCGGTCTCCCTTTCATTGTGTTAGTCCCATGTGAGAGCTCCCCTGTTCCTCTGAGAGTTCCATTCTTAACACAGCCACAGCATGTAACACCTTTCCCCTTTGTTCTCCAGCTCAGGACTTGCTCTGGTTCTCTACAAAGAGGTAGAGGGAAATCGTCCTTTTGGCTGTTGTTTGCTAAGTGTGAATGTCTTGGTCATCGGGGTTTCTGTTGTCTCTTCCGGATCCTCCAATCAGATATGTCAACTTTATTCAGCTTGGTTGAAAACAAGTTATTAACAGTCTATGTGAGTCAGACACCTTATCTCTTCCTGATACACACCAGGTATGTCTACACGCTGCTATAGTGTGTTAAGTGTAGACGCTACCTGCGCCGACAGGGAGTTCTCCCATAGAATCCTAGAATACCAGGGTTGGAAGGGACCTCAGGAGATCATCTAGTCCAACCCCCTGCTCAAAGCAGGACAAATCCCCAATTTTTGCCCCAGATCCCAAATGGCTCCCCTCAAGGATTGAACTCACAACCCTGGGTTTAGCAGGCCAATGCTCAAACCACTGAGCTATCCCTCTCCCCCCATCAGTGAAGGTAATCCATCGCCCTGAGAGGCGATTGCTAGGTCAGTGGAAGAATTCTTCTGTCGACCTAGCACCATCTACACTGCGGTTAGGTCAGTAGTGTAGCTACGTCTCTCGGGGGTGTTAATTTTTCAAGCTATACGAATATAATTTCCTTGTGGAGAGCAGCCCTCAGTATATAGTAATGCAAAGCCCCGAGGGAAACAGAGGCATGCATAGGAATCCTAAACATACCAACATTCCCACATTCATCACGACAACTTAAAGCTGTGAGGACCACGTGTTGGACATCACTGGACGAGTGGCCTGTATTAATGGGGGTGAAGAAGGGGCTGTTAGAAGAAAACCCTCCCTATGTGAGGAGGGTTCTTCACTCAGGGTTTCTTCACTCAGCTAAGGTTCCTTCTTAACCTCAGTGCTTATTTAAAAACAGCAAAAATAAATATCTATAAAATGTTAGTTTGTTACCTAATAGGTCCCCCTGAGTTGAAAATAGCCTGTATCTGTTGCAGTGAAACTGAGTGTTACGTAAAAACAAAACAAAAAGACCAAGATTGAGGAAGAAGAGCCTGAACGTGGCATGTGTAGATTGTGGGGAGAAAGTAAGGTAAACTGTAAACAGATGTGACGTTGATATTTGTTCTGTGCTTTCTAACAGAAGCTGGTGCCTTATGGAAAACCTGAGACATAGTGTATGTATTTTTTGTCTGCTTTTGCATAGGGACGCTTTGTAATAAACAAAATTTCTGCTTCTGTAAGTGGTGTGCTCCTGTTGCTTATTCCTCACCTGAAGTCGTAGGCATTTTCTGATCTGATCCTTTTTCATCACAGCGATGATTTTTCATGTCAGGAATCAATTATATGCAGAATAAGCAGGAGCATATGAGCTCTTAAATGATTGTCTTGTTTGCATTTGTGTACATGAAGTTTGAATGTTCTTTTTTAAAAAGGGCACTAAAAAGATTAGACATACAAGTGAGAACAATGTTCCTCCAAGTGTCTCTGTTGGCTTTAGATCTGTTGGAAAACAAGAATTGTTATCCAAATCCTGGGCCAGTGCTTACATGGCAGGAAGGGACCCAATAGCTTTGCAGGTATGGGCCCTAGGGCTTATCTAAGCAGGTAAGCTAAGCAGCATGAGTTAGGGTGTGAATTAAAATGATGTAAATTTACACTGGCAATTAAAATTATGCTGGTTAATTCCCCTGCGGGCACTGTTATTCCAGTATGATGATGTCTGCCCTTGGGGTTTTTTTATGTTGCTTTGGAAGCGGTTTCTGCTAAGTCAAAAAAGCCTCTCTTGTCCTGGAGTAAGAGTGCCCACACGATTGAGTTATATCAGTATAACTGGAAAAATCCCCTGTGTACATGAGCACTTAGAGTAGAAGTGCTCAATACCAGCTTCAGAAAGTTGCATAGGTAAACATTTATTTTGCAGGTTTCAGAGTAACAGCCGTGTTAGTCTGTATTCGCAAAAAGAAAAGGAGTACTTGTGGCACCTTAGAGACTAACCAATTTATTTGAGCATGAGCTTTCGTGAGCTACAGCTCACTTCATCAGATCACTTCACATCTGATGAAGTGAGCTGTAGCTCACAAAAGCTCATGCTCAAATAAATTGGTTAGTCTCTAAGGTGCCACAAGTACTCCTTTTCATTTATTTTGCAGAAAACAGAATATCTTGTTACCTGTTGGTGGGTGATCAGATGAATGTCCAATTTCTGAATATTGTAGGTGGGGACAATATTTTCATGAGTCTGGGTTTTTTGGTTTTTGTTTTTTGATGATCGGATGCCAGTTTCTTGGGGAATAGGTTACTTTTTCTCCCCTCCCCCCCCCACCAACAATGGATGCACTCTGTGATTTAGAGTACTGAAGTGTGTCATGATATGACTAGTACTGCTCCTGTGTGATGATGGTGAAAGTTATTCGGTGGCTAGCAAGTGTTAAATTAATGTTGAGAGTTTATTTCTGCCTGCTTGCATGGCTAATTATGACTTGACACTTCTGATTTTGTGATTTGGCAGCACCACAGAAAGTCCTTTCTGAAAACCTCAGATTGATTTCACTCTCAGCCACCTAACCATGATACTAATTTCTTGAATTGCTGAGCTTTTATCATTTGAAGCCTATATAAAGGCTCATAACACATCCTCTTAGGGGAGAACGTTGGAACACAGGGACGTATGTTCTTTCTCCCATTAACTTTTTATTGTTCCATTAATGCCCCTTTTTAAAGTGGTTCTAGACTAAAACAGTGTGTTTGGTTTTTGTTTCCCTTACCTCCCAACCCCCTTTCTCCCACTCCAGTTTCTTTTAATGTGGTTGTTATGTAGTTGGTTAAAAACGTCGTAACACGAGGGTATCTGAACTACATGTTTTAATGGTGGACTGAAAAGTTGATTTTCTGTATGTAGCATTGAGAAACTTTACATTAGTTTAGTTGTAACTTCTTCTGGGGAAGACAATTGCCTAGGTCAGTTGGGCTCATTTAGGTTGGTTTTTATTCTCCTCCACATCCTCCTTTGAGTTGTTTTCCCAGTTCCAAAATGTTCCCATCAAATATCATGAGGACTTTATTCATTTTGCTAGCTGCTGAATTTCATTCAGTAAAATTGTGCCTGATAAAACCTTCACAATGAAGGTTGATTGGCACTAGTCTGTCACTACTGCAGCTTGAAAACAAAATGTATATCTGAGCAAGCAAATAATAGTTTGGCTCAAAAATCAATTTTCCAGCAAGACCGGAGCCAGACACTTACTTAGGTGATTGTCCCTCCTCCTCCCACTTTTTTACTGCCTTACTAATCCTTTGAATATTTTGAGATTGAAAGCTATGTGCATTCCCTTGTGATTCCTTTTAGTTATTTTTTTAGCCAAGTTTGTGAAGTACTCTGTTAAAGTGTTGTCATGCTTCTTAGAGTCTGAGTGTATACTTCCAGTTAATATATCTTATGTCAGTGTGATGCTCTACCCGAGGCACTCAGAACTCTCTCTGCCTCAGCACGGGAGAGCTGTGCTGGAGGTTAGACAGTGTCAGGGCCCTGCTACACCAGTCTGTCTGCCTCACCAGCAACCTCCAGTTCCAGAGTTCCCCAGAGACTTCTCTGTGCAGCATCCAGTCCCTCTCACTGGACACTCTCAGAAATTAAGTTTGCTGCCTGCAAAGAGGCAGTGTACACACTCGCCTGGCTCCGTGAGGCTACACACTCTACATTAAAACACAGCACTGAGATGATTTATAGTAAAACTAAGAGTAAGTTTATTAATAAAGAACATAGATTTAAGTTATACTAAGCAGAGATAACAGAAAATAGTTGAAAGCAAAACAAAACATGCTTTCTAAAACTTAATTCTACCAAGTTATCTTTGCCTAAAATAGTTTCTGACTTACATCAAGCTACCAGCATCTCCAGCCCTCTAGGAGGCAAGAGGATCCAATGTTCACAGACTCAAAGGTTGCTGTTCCCTTTTCCCCTATGTGATGGATAACCAGAATTTCTTTTTGCTCCCCTTATGTTTCCCAGAGTCCATTGTCTTTGTCTTAGGAGCCAAGAAAACCATCTGGGGGTTCAGACTCTGGTGAGCTCACCAAGCTGTTTCTTCCACTGCTTGATTGCTTTGGTTACCTCATATGTAAATGTACTTTCATTGTGTATGGCTTACAAAACTTGTCCCAGATATGTAAATTCAGTCCTTTGTCTAAGGCAGGCTTGTCTAGCCTCTGCCTCCAAAACATATTTTAAGAACATATTTCCAGCACACACAACTCTTTATCCACATCCCTTACTGCGTCACTCAGTGATATTCATGACCAGTGTCTCACCAGTTTTTGTACTGTCTTACTCAATGCACTTTTATAGTACTGTAATATTGTATACAATGAGTTAATTCAGGTGCTTATTCTTCGGGGTTCAGATCACCTGTTCTCTGTCCCGGGGTGCCTAGACCCAGATTGTGACAATCAGCATAGATCTGCTTTCCAACGTGGCATGCACCAAATTGTCTGTTAAAAGATGATCATTTCTCTCGCTGTTTCAGAATTGCGATTTTATGTTCACTTTAAATTCTGTTTCTTAAAATGAGTAACGAAGCTGTCAACTATATATTTTTTTTAAAATGTGAAAGTTATGTATTGGCACACTTTTAGCAGCCAATGCCACCCCCCCATCTGTTTTTTCTGTTATAATGCTTGATAAAAGGAAGAAGTTAAAATTCTGTAACTAAGGGGAATCGTTCTTTAGATTGTGCAATAATAATATATTCCCAGATATAAATAAACATCCCTCCCCCAAAACCTCACAATGTACTTTAACTTCTAGGTTGACAAAAATGAGATTTTTCTTCATTTTTGGACATTTCGGTACTATTTGACCTAAAAGCCTAAAACTGTTGTCTTGATGGATTAAAAGAGAAAGTTGTAGAGGTGTCCTCCAACAGGCAGAGAAACTAATTAAATGTGGTTCTACTCAGCAAAGTAACTGGGGAAAATGGCACCGTAATCAGTAGACCGACACTCTGTATGCATTGAGTTCCTTGTGATCACTTTAGTGATGCTATATGTTTTTGCTGCTTCATACTACCGATAGCTGTGTTGTTTCTACAAGCCTCTGGGAAAGCGAGTTAGTTTTTGTTCTGTTTCACACGCCACTCAGAGAACAGCTAACAAACTGCAGAGCCAATTCTGCCCTGGTACACCTTGATTCTGCTCCCAGAAAACAGGGTTGAACAGGTCTGTCAGAAAACAAAATTTGGCCTGTGCCATCTTTTACTATTATCTTATGGCTGAGCCAGAAAGAAGCCAGCTTGATTTTGAGATTCCATTTCAATTTGGAGGACTCATCAGTAAGTAAAATGTTTGTTTTTCCTTGTAAGCAAAGCACATTTGAATTGGGAATCATTAAAATACTAAAAATTACAATCCCGGGATGCTGTTTTCACAGTATCCCTTTGTCAGATTTGAACCACACTTTCAGAGTTTGGGAGGAGAGTGCACTTTCTTCATTGCTTACACATTTGGGCTGTTCAAAATAATAGGATTTTTTAAATATATTTTGAGTTTTAAAACAAAAGGCTGTTGCTAACCATGTTTTTAGGAAACCAGTTTCTCTTTTAAAACAGTGCCATTGTCATATGGTGTAATGCATGATTTACAGGAAGGGAGACCCTCTGATTATCGCTCACAACTAGGGCACCTCTCTCCCAAACTGGCAGCTGCACTTCTGACAGGGTAGAGCACTGGTAGGCATTGATATCTAGGCAAGTAGCTCAGGTCCTTCTTGTGTCTTGGAAGCCATCTGTCAGAAGGCCCTGAAATTTGAAACGCAGGAAGTTTGTGGTGCATTCAGGCCCAAGTCAGCTCCTGTTTTTTATTCTTCCCCTTCCACACACATGGAGAGACTGCTTACCTGCCTCCTGATGTAAAGGCCAGCTCCATCCACGTACATTTGGCAGCTATTTTAGCCTGTCATGAACTGATTCAAAGGAGACCAGTGCCCAGTGATGTGGGAGATGAGGCTCTCAAAATAAGCCAGTTAGAGGCTTAGGAGATCCTTGTTGTCAGGTTGAGGCAGTGTTTGACATTTGAAACCTCATGTTAAACAGCCCCCAGTGTTAGGGGAGAATGACGTCACCCTGACAAAGCTGATGAAATTTTCTTTCGAGCCATTCAGTTCCTGTGAGCTAAATTATCTCGCATGGAAGGTTGCTTTCTTGCTGGGAGTCCTTTCAGCTCACAGGCGGAAGTGAGCTTCAGGCTGTCGTGACCGATCCAGTTTACACCAGGTTTAAGGTGGTGCTGTGGAATCATTGAAGAATCCTCCCCACAGTGGTCTGAGAGTTCCACTCCATTAAGTTTGTCGTCCTGCCAACATTTCTGTCGTGCCTTCTTTTCCCTTCCCCATGAGGCCCTTCTCCATGTACTCAGTGTCAAAAGGTCTGTGGGGCGCAAAGTTTCATTTGGGGCAGACTAAAGCCCTTAGGAAGTCCACTCAACTTCTTGCTGTTTTTCACACCAATCAGTGTGGGCAGTGCTGTAATAGTGTCTGACTTCTTTTTATAGCTTGGCCGGCCAGAAGCTAGAAGACTGTAAGAACATAAAAATGGCCATACTGGGTCAGATCAATGGCCTTTGTAGCCTAATAGCCTGTTTTCTGACAGTGTTCGGTGCCAGATGCTTCGGAGGGAACAAACAGAACGTGCCAGTTATTCAGTGAGCCATCCCCTGTCATCCAGTCTCAGCTTCTGGCAGTCCAAAGTTTAAGGAGCCTCAGAACATCGAGTTGATCCCTGATCATCTTGGCTACTAGCCATTGATGGACTTGTCATCCATGAAGTTACCTAATTCTTTGTTGAACCCAGTTATACTTTTGGCCTTTACAACATCCCCTGGCAGTGAGTTCCACTGGTTAACTGCATTTCTTTAAGAAGTGCTTCCTTATGTTTGTTTTAAACCTGCTGCTTGTTTCATTGGGTGACTCCTGGTTCTTGTGTTCTGGGAAGGGGGTAAATATACTTCCTTATTCACTTTCTCTAAACCATTCATGATTTTATAGACTTTTATCATTCTCTCCCCCTCCCCAGCAGTCGTCTCTTTTCCAAGCTCATCAGTCCCAGATTTTTTAATCTCTCCTTGGATGGTAGCTGTTTCTTAACCCCAAACATTTTCATTGACCACCTCTGTACTTTTCTCATTTCTAATGCATCTTTTTTGAGATGGGTTGACCAGAACTGCATGCAGTATTCAAGGTGTGGGGGCACCATGGATTTATACCAGTGATACTCAGACCCTTAGTAGTTCAGAAGCCATATTTGTGATCAGCATTACACAAAAGAGCCACAGCACTGTGAATTCATTGTTTCACTTACTATAGTACTATATAAGTTGTATTTAAACAGTATGAGGGGAAATATTTAGTGTGTGTATATATTTTTTTCTCACAGCAAAATGACTGACCAAGTATTTTATCAACTACAATTGGTTAATAACATAATAAAAGCATCCTGATTAGTTAATAACTTAGGTCAATAATTAAATCACACGGTGTTTTATCTATTGTGCTGCAAATAGCCGCAGGAAACACATTAAAGAACATCTTGTGGCTTGTGAGCCTGTCTCAATATCACCTATATATACGATGATATTATGATATCTTCCGTCTTAGTATCTATCCCTTTCCTAATGGTTCCTCACATTCTGTTAGCATTTTTGACTACCACTGCATACAGAGCAGATGTTTTCAGAGAACTATCCATAATGACCCCCATCATTTGTATGTATAATTGGAATTATGCAGTACTCTGCCTTTATCAACATTGAATTTCATCTGCCATTTTGTTGCCCAGTCACCCAGTTTTGTGAGATCCCTTGTAACTCTTATTTTGTGAGCTTCACCTTCTGTTCAAGGAAAGGAACTGACTTTAGAGGGCAGTAGTTATGCCTCTGTGGGTGGCATGCAAAGGTTAGTATGAGTCTGGCTCATGCTTTACCTTACTCCCGCTGCCCTCAGATCAAAATTATAAGAGCTGTGGCAGATCCACCTGTGTCATACTAGAAAGCTAAGACCCAAGAGTGAGAACTCTGATTACCTGGTATTTTCAGAGAAGCAGAATTGCAGGTAAATAATTTTCTCTTGCTCTCTTATGCAGCTTCCAGTGATTGTACTCTTAGGTTTTTTGTTGTTAAAAAAACTGCATTCACAAAAATTGAGTCCACAAATTTTGGACAGAATAAGTTTAATAGATTTTTTTTTTCCTACTGTACGTTAATTTCAACAAGTAACTTTTGGAAATTTCAAAGTACTCTTCATTTTTGTTCTGATGCAGCTTCCAGGTGGGAGTCTCCCTCAATACGTGAAGACATGCAGCCAGAAATATGGATTGCACAGGAACTGCGGCGTATTGGAGATGAGTTTAATGCTTCCTATTGCCCAAGAAGGGTAACTTTATTTTTTATTTATTTATTTTTTTAAATTTTCTGTTTCCTTACATGCAAACTTTGAAAGGGAAAGGTTTATAACTTCTGGAAATATGTCTTGTTGCAAATGTTTCATGTTCCCAAATGTACAGAGATGTGCATAACATACACGTTTGTGTATATGCGGGTAATACTTACCTTAAGGTAAGTCTTGACTCCATAGTGAAGGTTATTTTGAATTTTTCACATCTGATGAAGTGAGCTGTAGCTCACGAAAGCTCATGCTCAAATAAATTGGTTAGTCTCTAAGGTGCCACAAGTCCTCCTTTTCTTTTCACTTAAAACTAGGATTCAGCCTCTTCTCTGTGAAGTATACAGTGTATCTTCCCCTAATTTAAAGTACCCAGAGCCATCAAAATGCTTTCAAACATGTGTAAGTGCTTTGCTGGATCAAGACTATAATCTGGGAGTTAAAATTGTGTGTGGGGAGGGAGGCGTTTAGGCTTTTCAGGTGAATCTGCAAATTTAGTTTGAGTTAAAACTGGGCATTTTAAGAAACTTGCTCTGGTGACTCTTGCTTTACTTTTACTCATTTATCTAAAACACCACTGCTCCCACAAACCCCAAACTATGCACATACCATAGGCTGAGAATCTCTCAGACAGAGATTGCTTTTCATATTTTTAAAATAATGCAACAGTTTTTGTTTCTGTGTTGTGATGTGGCTGGAGAAATATTTTAGATGCTGAATGGATGATCCAGCACCATCATATTTAATTTAAAGATATCTCTTGTTACTTCTCCTTCATGTCCCCCCTCACAGCCAGTTGCCCCCAAGGTCGCCCCAAATGCTGCTCCTCATTCCCCAGGCACATTCTTGCTCCTCCTCTGCTCTTATGAGGGGTGGGCAGCCATATGTGGGATGCCTGTGGGGCAAACAGCCAGGGTGTGGGAACATGGGTGGTGAGTGGAGAGATGTAGGGACTGAGATGGAACAGTTCCGAGTTAGTTGGTTACCTCAGTGCTGAGGTGGCAGTCCTTGGACTTTCGTCACTGCTCCCTTGGCACCCCAGCACAGCCCTGCTCTGACCTAGGCACCCTCTACAGACATGTGCTTCCCTGCACACAACTCTGCTCTCCTTCTGCAGTGTGTTTTGAAACTTTTCTTATCTTATTTTTCAGTCTTAAAATATACTGGTACTATTTTTAAAATAGCATATAAAATTGTAATGCTGTAAAATTCTGCCTTTATGTATATGAGGCAAAGTGGATAGAATTGAAATTACAAATTAATCCTAAAACTAAGCTAACAATTGTTTTTTAGAAGGAATTAAGTCAAAAAGTGATTGAGTCAGCTTTACAATATTTATTCTAAACGGCTTGCATGTTTATACATGCAATTTCTAGCCATTAACTTGTCCTTCCTCTCTTTTGAGAGGAGAACGACACCAAGCACAAGTGTCGCTAGGTCATAATCATAAAGTTTAAGGCCAGCAGGGACCACCAGATCATTAAGCTGACCTGTATATCACAGGTCACTAACACCGCCCAGTAACCCCCATGCTAAACCCAACAAGCATAATTAGACCAAAGTGTTACAGCCCTCAGCAGACTAACCTGCTGTGTGCCACAGGCTGAGAACAGCGGAGACAGGTGCACCAGTACCCAAGGTCCCTATCGATTAAGTGAGAGATGAGACGTTAACTGCTTGGATTTTTAACTGACTTCCATGAATGGTAAGTCAGTGACACGAGATTATTCTTTTTTTTTTTTTTTTAATAGAATCCATACAGTACTTGTCCTTGACTTTCATTTTGGGGGCTTTCAACTGTCTCAATCTCAGTGCAACCTGTTCTTCTCCCAAGCTGCTTCTTGACCCCATCGGCCCTCTTCACTGTTATCTCTTCTGTGTCATCTAGTTCTCTGTACCGTATTATTTCTCTCCTGATGTTGCTAATACTTTGTGTGAGGTACTGAGTTTAGCAGCATATACTACAGCTGCATTAACATAGTCTGAAGAAAAATCTTTTCCTAAGTATTTTAATTTGTTTTTCTTTTATTTTTGTTAATGGAACAAGCTGACAGAAAAGGCTTGCTTGCTTGCTTGCTTATTTCCTGGATGATCCTATCACTGTTGGGGAAGGGAGATTCCTCCTTTCCCTAAGTCATTTTTACATAAAAGAGCTAATGGAGTCCTAGATCCACCCACTGGAGAATTCTACCTGGCACAAGGGAAGTTACATGTGATATTCTGTGACGTGTTGTCTGATGCTCTCATTTTTCTTTGAGATTTATGCACTGGTGGAATGTGTTTTGAAGTCGTTGCTGTTGACTTCTTTTCACTATAGGTTTCCTACATCTCACTGGATATAGTGCTACATTATATAATACTTCTCCTTTGATTGTTGTTAGAATCAGATCTTGAACAAGAACATTCACAGGATGCATTCATGCTACACTGTTTGTCATCCTATCTTCTGGCTTCCCATAAAACTTATTGTTTGGTCCCCACAGTATGAATTCAACACTGTTTTGAAAATTTAGCCAAAACAATTAAATAGAAATATTGTTCAAAGGTAGTTGACTCAAGGCTGATGTCCTAATTGTGCGTGGTAAATACATTATATTCATTTTTATGGTATGACATAAGCTGTACTGTACAATGAGCTAGAATCGGACTTCCAAGTTTAACTCATGGTTAAAAACACATAGTAAAGAGTTTTTTAACTTGCAAACTAGAAAAGCTGTATTTCCTGTACATGCCAAACTTTTCACAGACAGTGAAGGCATTAATATAAATGAACATAAAAATGATTCTTCTAGTGGTCCAGCTGTATGGATTCAAATGAAACAGGTTCTTAGCGCTGGAGCTAAAAGTTCATATTTGGGAAAACAATATCTGAAATAGATATTTTGACATTGAAGGATTCATAGGTAATGATTGAATACCATGAAAATGTAAAACTCCTTTTTATATGCAATCTTGTTTTAGCCATATTGGTTCTGGCATATTAGAGAGACCAGATGGGTGAGGGAATATCATTTATTGGACCAACTTCTGTTGATGAAAGACAAGCTTTTGAGCTTACAGAGGACCTGAAGAGCTCTCTGTAAGTTTGAAAGCCTGTGTGTCTCACCCACAGAAGTTGGTCCAATAAAATGTATTACCTCACCCACCTGGTCTCTCGAAAACTCCATTTTGACAGTTGTGACCATTAGAAACTGGTTTATATATATAATTCACTAAGATATTGAAATTAAAAATGATGCTGTGCAAATGTCTGTCTTAGGGCAGGTCTACACTACAGGGCTCAGTCGACCTAAGTTACACAACTCCAGCTACGTCAATAACATAACTGGAATCAACGTACCTTAGGCCAACTTATTACGGTGTCTACACTGCGCTGGTTTGACGGGAGGAACTCTCCTGTCGACTTACCTTATGCTTCTCGTTGTGGTGGAGGGCCAGAGTCAGCAGGAGAGCGATCGGTGGTCAATTTAGCGGGATCGACCCCCTGGTGGATTGATCGCCGTGCGTCTATCCCCCAGTAAGTGGAGACAAGCCCTTAGTCTAAGCAAACTTCCTGGGGCAGTGTGATCTAGTGGATTGGTCCCTATACTAGGAAATAGGACGCATGGGTTTCATTCTCTGCTACTGCTCTTGAAAACACTTCATGACTGTTCCTGTTTCGCCATCAGTAGAATGGGGACTATAACACTTAGCTTCGTTTGTAAACCACTTTGAGAAATATGTATGAAAAAAGTTATATTAAACTCTTGCTCTGATTAATTCAGATGGATTGATTTTAAATCACCAGTTTTAATCAGGATTTCAGTTGGCAAACGGGAAACATTAAAATTAATCTTATTTTTCATTTGTGCTTTTTATTAGTTTTCCTATAGAAAGGCTGATTCATGCTCGTTGGTAACCATTAAAACATGCTGATTTGCAACTAAATATATCCTTTACACTAAATCTGGTTTGTTTTTGCTAACCAGGAGATAAACTACAGCTATATGCATTTATTTAAGCAATTGTATAGTTTAATATATATTTATTGTGGTTATTAATTTTTACATTTATGTTAAAAAATTTACTAGATTTTTACACATAATCTGTGTCAAATTGCAGTTGGATGGAAATTGGAATTAAATTAACACTGGGCAGACCCCTGCATTCTAAAATTGCTAACGTAGTTACAACTAATACAAATGTGCCGCATAGGTAAGCGGGGGAAGTGAGTTCATCAAACCCTGTTTTGCATTTGAAACGAGCTGATTAAACTACGTATTATCTGTGGGGAGTGAATGGAACTGATAGTTTCTGGTTACTGTGCCCTTCGAGGTTTCAGAACTAGTAGATCTTATCCTCACGAACCTTGGTTTTTATTCAGAGATTTGAAGAGGAAAATGAGCTTTCCTGCTTTTTCAACCCCCAGTTGGTTTCTCAACTTTGCACAAGTCCTTGAACTGAACTAGGAGAGTAGAATGAAATGACGAAAATAGTCTGACAAACACTGGTTTAGCACCAACCTGCTCACTGGTTTCTAAAACGAGGGTGGCAAATATGTAGTGTTTGAATGTTCTAATTGATTGTTAATTATTTTAAGATATAGGTTGTCATAATTGCTAATTTTAATTTAAAATAGGTTTGCAAACAAAGAAAAATATACTAAAATTTGATTTTAAAAGTGGGGTTTTTATTTAATTTTTTTTATCCACCCTGGCTGAATCTCTTTTTGTGTAATAAGTTGAACGTGGTAACAGTTTGACAAGTCACCTGACACCAAAGATAAAACACTCCTTAATCCATAGGGCTTCTAGAGGGTAATGGATGTTATTGGTCTGTGTAAAGATAGTATAATTATCCTGTGGTATTTCAACTAGACCCATTCTCAGTCATGTGCTAACTGCATTTTGAAGGAACAGAATAGTACATTGTGTGGGTTATTGCAAAAGGTTTTCTTCTATAGGGGCTTGTGTTCAAATCTGTGTAAAGTCACAAGATTTTAATAGACTTGA